TTTTGCGAATTACAGAATTTCAATGCAAGCTTTTGAATATATACTTACGAAATGTATAAAACATATTTTATTTTTTGAATATATATGATTCTGCAACATTATTCTCAACGTGCGATATATCTACAAATATTCTAAAGTACACTGTGCTGGGACTCCATTTGCCCTCTCCTTCGTTAATTAATAATTCAGAAAACTGAATATATTTTGACGAAACTTGAAAACGAAACTAATCCCAACTCTTAAGTGTTATAAATATGTTCAACTTTAAAAAAAATTATTATTCCTGCTACTTTAAATAAAAATCTAAGAAAAGAGCCTTAAAGTTTTATATAAATAATTACATGCAAGTTTAAAATATATAATCTCGTTTAATGTTTAGGTTAAAAAATAAATTATCATTTTCTCCGTCGATACATCAAGGGGCAAAAGTAGTTCCAGTGGCCTCGTCGGTAACTCGAAGCCGTGGGAAAAACAGAGAGAAAGGAACAGGTTCCTTGTTCGATAGATGTCGTTATTTTTCGAGAAGGTACCGTGTATTCTATGGCTTATGGAACAACGACAGCTGTCATCTATCACAAATAGTAATGCACGAGTGTACCCATTTTGCCTATCTACCTTACCTACCTGTCATCTAGCCACTGTCCCTTATTGTATGCACTAAAAACGCATTCTTCATTATCGACAGAGTCCAAACCGACGTGGCTCGTTCCGCAACTCATTTACGCGCAAAAATTGCGTTATACTTTTCTACCTTTTTTTTTTTTAAATTTTAATTTCTTTCTCTCTTTCTATCACGGGACTGAAGATGATTTTCAAAAGCAGAATCTAGCTTATGGTCGTTGTTACATCGCGAATACGCTTGTTCGAAAATTAGGTAGAACGAGTCAACTAAAAGAGGGGATTAACACTAGAACTACCAACCCAGTGAAAATGACTGGTCCCAGAATTTTCTTTTTTGCAATCACTGAACACATACACCTGCTTTAAAAATAAAATTGATACCAACTCGTATTAAGAAAGAACTGTAATCAATATATTCGCTCATATTCATCGGTACCGCTGAAATTACTATAATCTGTGCACGTTATAGTTAGGTACCCATTAAAGATCGGTGGTTCTAGTGTTAACCCATTTGAAGGTGGTTAAATTATTAGTTACTCGTTTCGACGTGAAAGTAAAGTTCCTTTCTGTTCAGAATATGCGTTTAGATGCGAGGTAAGGGTAGAAAATGCTGGTTGAAGTATGATTTGCAGAAACAAGTATAATTATAATTAGTACCGGTGTCGACGATGCGTAGCTACGGCACTGCCGAGTCTAGGCAAGCGAGCAATGGCTGCCTGGCGCTATAACCTGGTATCGCATACGACGAATATTTTTCGAATTACAAACTGCTTCGACAATTCTGTTCCATGATTTCCTCTTCAGAAATGTCTACAAAATACTATACATATAGCAAGTTCGTGCTGGGTAAAGAACTTCTTGCAACAATGCAAGAGTAGTGCGTAGAAAGTACGCTCGGCGGCTTATTTTCAAATTCTCATTAACAATTATAGTTATTCAGACACGAATAATCATAATCACTTACATCGATGAGCTCGGGAAACTCTCGCCTAATTTTTAACATAAGAATGAATCCTTCGTTTTATCCAAAAAATCGTGCGTTTTGAGAAAAACTGCGTATTTTTCGGAAACTGAAGATGAGAGAGTAATTTCATTTGCGAATTCGCCTTTAGGCAAGTAAGCCCTGCGAGTCTCAGATTTGACATACCGAGGATATTACAGATTTGACAATTGTTGATGATCAATGATTGTTGGACAGTGCAATCGAAGAGATTTTCTTCGCTACTGACTACTCGATCATCGGCGGACAATTAAAATTGCGATTGTTTATTGTTAATGGAAACGAAGAATTGGCGGACGGACTTGAGAACGATTCACAGTCTACTCGACGTTGTTGGTCGATTCGAAAGGCACTTGGACGATTTGCGAACGCGAAAGGTTCCTCGATCTTAGACCACCAGGGTATCGTCTTTCGGCGCCGGACCATCGGGCAGCTTCTGATTAAAGACTCGGATGTTGTGAAACAGGTAGCCCAATGAATCCATCACTGGTCGCACGAAGGCCTGCGTGACGGCTGTCAGGAAGTTCCTCGACGCTGCACAGGTGATCTTCCAAACGCGGAGACACGGCGCCAGGCACCATATATGCTGAAAACATCGGTCAATTAATCTCTCTTCTCATCCTGGCTAATCCAGGCTAATTCTCGACCCAGAATTAGCCGCAGGAATGTTCACAGCGAGAGAGAATAAAAGGAAAATCGATGAGGAGAACAGCTGGGTAGTACTCGCGGAGGAAATGAAGTTTCCATGAAGCTTTCGTGCAAAGTAAAGCGAAAGAAGTGGGAATTACAGCGTCGACCCACATATCCAACGGACCAAGCAACAAAAATAATGGCAACGATCGCGATAATGGCGTCGTGCAGAGGGTCTACCGGAGGTGGATCGATCGGCCATAGAATCGAGAAAAAGGTCGTCGACTCACCTGAAACGCGAGGCAGGCGAACGTGAAACCGAAGCAAAGGGCGAGCAAAGGTGCGACGAGGACGGAGAGGAACACGTAGCAGCAGCCCCTGGACAACCGGAAGCAGTGGCCGCTCAGCCGCCACGCGCACTCTGGGCTCCGTATTCCTTCCGGTTCCCCGATCACGTCATCCCACATCACCTGTTTCGATAATTACTCCTGTCAATATTTCCTTAAAGATAAGTCCCCTAGGTCCCGACATGAATCCAAGATTAATCCTCATCCTAATTTTCTTGCTGTCATTTCTATATCTTCTTTCCCTCGTTTGCTTTTCTGGTAGATTCGAAGTTGTTCGACAGAAATTCCCAGAAGTTTCCTTTAGGGATGGTATAATCTTCAGTGAGAGACTTTTTTAAATGCCAAGGTCATTCGATGTGCACTTATCAAGGTCGCCTGGTAGCCTGCAATATTAACCCCTATCTGGATGTCTTTGGGATTCGTGTCGTATACCAAAATTCTGACCCTGACATTTTATTTTGATTTTGAGCAACCAGACTATGTTACTTTTACTCGATAAAATGAAGAAGGGATCATCTTTCACAATCCTCCATGTTGGACTGTACGTAGCACTTCATTTTCATCAATCAGACTCCATTATTAAACGAAGCCTTGATCCTCAACCTTATATTTCATTATGATTAAGCAGACTACGTTACTCTAACTCGATTAAAGATGTAAAAATGAAGTTTCGTTAGTTAGACCATCTTCCACAATCCTCTACGTCGAACTCTACATGTTGTGCATTCCATTTTGATCAACAAGACCTGCATCTTCAACCTTACATTTCATTTTGATCGAGCAGACTATTTGATAAAAACAAAAAGAAATTAAGTTTCGCTAGTTAGACTACCTGTCAAAACCCATACTACACTCAAGAGTGTGTAACCCCATTTACCGACCAAATTCCACCACACTCGCGCAATAAAAATGTAAGAATCACTGGAATCACCTGAATCGATGAAAAAAATTTCGATCCATCAGACTGGATTACCCTCAGCTGATAAAAATAACAAACGAAACCTCGCTAGTTAGACCACCTGTCAAATCCCACGTTACACTCACGAATCTGTCGCTCCATTTTAACCGACCAAGTTCCACTGCACTCAGAAACGAAGAAAGAATCACTAGACTCACCCCAATCGATGAAAAAAATAACAAAATTAATAGTACCACTTCATTTCGGTCAGTCAGGCTCTGCTACTAAATAAAGCCTCGCTAGTTAGACCATCTGTCAAATCTCACGTTACACTCGCGAATCTGTCGCTCCATTTTGACGGACCAAATTCCAGTGCACTCAGAAACGAAGAAAGAACCACTAGATTCACCCGAATCGATGAAAGAAATAAAAATAATAACAAGAAGAGAAAGAGAAATGTAAAATGGCGACGTACCTGCAGGTGCTTGTTCAGGTTATTAGGGTCCCTGTCCTCGAGTTCGGTGTTGCTGTCCCCATCCCCGGTGGAGGACTCAGGCTTCTCCATCCCTGGAATGTTTAAATTGCCACACTTGGGAAAAGAACACCTGACGGCGTCCCTGCAGCGCGCCAGCATCCTGTCCGTCGATTGTACGCGAACGCGCGATCAGCGGGGACTCCACGCGGCGTCCCCAGCTGGCCGTGCGGTCAAGTGCGTCGCCATCGCGGAAATCACGACGCGGGGTGGATGGAGCAACGATCCATAAGACGCCATTGATTCGACGCGTTAAATAATACAGGGTGACCACCAGCGACGTAGTGTCAATGCCAGGACCGCCGGCCTCGAGCCGCCGACCCGGGAGACTTGTTGCGGTCCCGATGGATTAGGGGTGCACTATGGGTCGGCACGGGTTATGCGAACGTCATAATCTTGCCTATCGATTCAGCTGCGACTACGCCACTTTACGCCACTCGATAACTTGCGTCACTCGCGCGCTTTCCACTTTACCGAATCGAGTGACCTGATGGATGGAGTGACTGGTTCAGAGTTAGGCTCAGGATTGGTGTCTCTGATGGTCGGTTTACGAGGTTACTGTCACGGACTAGCAGAGTTTGTGACAGTTACTTGGTATTTTGGTGATCCAGTCAGGCTAAGGAGTTGTAACATCTGGTAATGGTTAGGATGGTTGGTTTGGAGTCAGGATTATGGCTCCTGGGTCTGATGGTAGATCTCCAAGATTTCTATAAGAGAGTTATGAAATATGTGTAGAACTTATATTTGGTATTTTGGTGAACCAGACAGGTTAGGAAGTTGTAGGATTTAGTAATGGTAAGGCTGATTAATTTGGGGTCGGGATTAGGGCCCCTGGGTCTGATGGTAGATCTCCAAGGTTTCTATAAGAGAGTTATGAAATATGTGTAGAACTTATATTTGGTATTTTGGTGAACCAGTCAGGTTAGGGAGTTGTAGGATCTAGTAATAGTTAGGGTGGTTGGTTTAGGGTCAGGATTAGGGCCCCTGGGTCTGGTGAAAGATCTCCAAGATGTCTACAAAAGGATTGTGAAATACGTATAGAACTTATATTTAGTATTTTGGTGAACAAGTCAGGTTAGGGAGTTGTAGGATTTAGTAATGGTTAGGCTGATTAATTTGGGGCCAGGATTAGGGCCCCTGGGTCTGATGGTAGATCTCCAAGATTTCTATAAGAGAGTTATGAAATATGTATAGAACTTATATTTAATATTTTGGTGAACCAGTCAGGTTAGGGTGTTATAAGATTTAGCAATAGTTAGAATGGTTGATTTTGGGCCAGGATTAGGGCTCTTGGGTCTGATGGAAGATTTCCAAGTTATATTTGGTATTTTGGTGAACCAGTCAGTCTAGTAATAGTTAGGATGATAGGTTTGATTGGCTCTGGGGTCTGATGGAAAATTTCTAAGATGTTCATGAGAGCTGCGGAATGTGTAGCATGTGGTGAACCAGTCAGACTATAGAATTATAGGATGCACTAGAGCTTGAAGTGACTAGTTCACAGTTAGCTTTGGGCTTGCTAGGTCCAGTTGAAGATTTCCAAGGTTTTTCTGATAAATTTTGACAATTTGTTAAGATCCCCTGGTATTTCGTGAACCAGTCTGGAAATAAGATAGATTGAACGATGGATTGTATGTAAAAAATGGAGGAATATTGTAGAATCTCTAGGGACCACTCGATATTTCGTGAAGCAGTCAGGCCTCAGAGGGGATTGACTAATGGTACGCGAAGAACGTGGAAAATGTGGAGTCTTTTATTGGAAATTAGAAGAGAAAACGTGGAGACTAGAACATGTAAGTTGTTCGAAATTATCGATCGGTGACTTCCGATTGTCGCGAAGATCCCCGCGAGCTATCAATAATGCAGGGAGCCTCTGGTTCCCTGCGACGATCACCTGCCCGCACTTTCCATTCCCTTCAACCTTCAGAACAACTATGTCACCTCTGAGTGACACTTTGCAGCGACAGGAAAATGGAAACTTAAATATTCTCCATAACTTATACAACCAGTGACGTTTATCAGCAATTCTAATTGTCAGTTCAAAGAGTCCAAAGACGATGTCTAACGTAAACTTCTTTACCCAAGTCGATTATTACCTACGTTACTTCCATGATTCTTCGTGAAATTTTGCTAAAAATTTCTTTCAAATGTTCAAACACGTGTAGGAGTCTCCAATTTGGTTTTTCCTGACACAAATTAAGTTGGTCTAGCCTTAGCTAAAGGGGTGTCGGTATTACTCACTGGACTCCCCGTTCGCGACTCGTGATCCCCTTATTTTGCTTGCTCGTGCGTTTCACCAGGTTCAGCAATCCCCTCGATTCCGTTCGCGCAGTTGGATTCGTCCTCTCGATCGTGCAGGTACGAGGATAATCCGCGATTCAGCCGCCGGACAACGGTCAACGCGGCTGCGCCACCCGCTTCAACCCTCTCCACGCCGCGCGACGCATCGTGCAACCACCCCGACCAAACGAAAGTGAATGTCCCGTCGCCTGGAGCGCGTACGATCCAAACCAGACACCGCGTTCGATAAAAGGGACCATTGGGGAGGAAACCTTCAGCAACCCCTGCTCGAAGTGGCTGAATAACGAGATTCTTCCATTCTTTTCCATTTCTTGCGATATTATGGGGTGATTTGGGGAGTTCGCAATGAGTTCTTTCCATTTTGGTGAGGGTTAAATTTGGAGAAGGGTCCATGATTTTTGCATTTTTCTTTTGACGATTTTAATTGCATTCTAATTGAAGTTTTGAGAATTGTGTACCATATTTTTTATTGTGATGGGTGACGAAATTTTTAGGGTGTTTCAGTATTATTTTCTTTTTTTTTGGTTGTGGATAGCGAAATTTTGGGGTGTCTCAGATGACTTAGAGAATTTGTAACGATTTTTTTCTTCATTTTGCGACGTCGATGATTGAATTTGAAGAAGGATCCATGATTTTTCTATTTTTTCTTTTTTTTTTCTTTTTTGACGATGTTAATTGCATTTTGAGAATTGTTTACGATATTTTTTATAGCGACGAGTGACGAAATTTTAGGGTTTTTTTCAATAACCTTTTTACTGGAATGATGTTTCAAAATTTTAGAAGTTTCTAAAAAAAATATTTTTTTAAAAATGAACGTTAGAATTTTTCACACAGATGGCTATTAAAATTTCAAATTTTGGGAAATCTTCAATAACTATTTTGTGCCTTGAGCTAGTGCAATTTTGAAATTTCGAATGATTCTTTAACACAAACGAGGGTGCAAATTTTGATCCAAGCTTCAGCAATTTTCCTTGCAATTATGATTATTGGAATTTTAAAACTACCGATAGTTAATTAACAATTTTATTTTTTAATTTAATAATTAAATTTAATAATTTCTACAAATATGTAATACAATTTTATTAATTTTTCTTGCTTTCATAACAACAAATGATTCATCGTTATATAATTACAATAATCGTTTTCTACGACAATGAATCGATGAATTCCCCGAATCAGATTACAATCGTGGAATAAAAAACGCAAGGTTAGAGTTTGAAGTAAACATCGTGCAATGAAAATAGAATACAATGAATATGCAAAGTTTCGATTTCTGTCGCGAAGTTGAAAATTCCCAGGCTGCAAACTTTTCTCCGGTTCTTTCCTATGTTACGAAGTTCGTCGCAAATGGCGCACCTGTGGATTGGACCTAAGTTCGTGGGCGTCGATCGATATATTAATCACGCGTTGCCGAAGTCTCAAGGAAACACTCTGAAAAAATAAAAAAAGAAACACGAGGTTCATTTGAAAAAGCAATTGGAATATTAATCAAACAACTTTTTGCGTTGGCAACATTCGCAATCTTGCTGACTCATTACGAAGCGAAGTATAGTGACCCAACGATTACGCGAGTTTTTTCGTTTCTATTATATAACTCCAAAGGAAAACAAATTTTCATTCAATGTTTGTCACTCTGGCAGATAAAACCGTATAAATAACGCTGTTGCTCAATAAAATGTAAACAGTTCTATGACGAAACGAAATTGTCCACATATCGGACAGCCTCTCGGAGTCACCGACAGATGGCGCGCGTATGAACTCTTCCGTAATGGCGGTGACTCTTTACCGAGCGTGCATCCTGACTCGATTGTGCCAGTAATTGCGAACGTAGCCTGAGTCATATGTTTCTTTTTGAAATATTAAAAATATTGAAGGCTAAAACAGTTTCGCGTCTTAAATACACCCGAAATGACAAAACAAATCGCAACAAAGCCGCAATGTTAATGCAAACGTGCAATTCCCGGCTGTTTATGCCAAAAATGATTGTACCGTGAAATCTAATCTAGATATTACTTAATTAGACATTTACCAAGATATTTAACAAATTATTCGCAGAAAAATATAAAAAAATATCGAATATCGTGAAACGATAGTTGAAATAAAAATATTGGGAAACAATAAATACTTCGGGTGTATTTATCGATACTTTTCAGAGAAAAATATGAAAAGGAGATCCCATTCACTGATGTGCGATTTTCTCACCATTTTCTCACCATGGCTCACGCGAATCCAAGAATTATACCAAAAAAGGTAAATAAAAATGATTATATTGTAGTCAATGTAGAGTATAGCGAGTATATTTAATAATTATTTTCCATAAATTCACAGATTTTCTCCCATATTTCATCGAACACCATAAATCACGAGAAAAATATCGAAGTCTTCTTTGGATCAATGGCCTGTCTGCCGAAATCGTGTTTCGGTGCACATAAAATCGAAACTCGTTTTGTTTATAGAACAAATTCACGATACATCGATAACACCTAACGCGTAAGTCTCACCAGTGATACAGACCAAGAGCATAAGACTATTTTAAGAAGTATTAAATATTCTTCCTCCAAGAAGCTTCTTGCCCCAATCTTCCAGTATACCTCTTTAGATATCGACCAATTGACAAAAATAAATAAATAAATTCGTCCAATCTACCTGTATCCGTTCTACGTAACCAACCTCGTCACAAAAGAATCTAAAATAGGTGTCTGACCACAGCCTCCTCATCTGATCTTCCGACATGCATCCTGACGGTACCATCGAATGGCTCCCATGACAAAACGACGATCAGGAGAGGTGGGAGAAAAAAGGAA